TATCGAATCTCAAACTGATACCAAAATCCCAAATTGATGCAGCATTTCCAAACTAATGCTAAAATCCCAAATGTTTTATACAAGTTGACACGTTGACTTAATTTGGGATTTCGGCACTGATCATTAAAATAACAGGTTGATTGCAAGTGTTTAAAATAGGCTTATCGTTATGATATGTTTGGTACTGGAGATAAGAACGCAAACATCATATGCTCAGTCAATATCCATTCATGTCTAATGATTTGACCACAATATAAATCATATATACTTCGTTTCACTACGTTTCTGATATTCCATGTCTTAGCTCTTAAAAGTTAGCTAATCAATAAAATAAAAGCCTAAATATGGAACGATTTGAACTTGGATTGGCTAGAATCAATCTAAATCTAGAACAACCAAGTTCTAACCTTATAACTGATTGTTATGATTTCTAATTCGTGTTACATTTACGCGTTACCGTTACTTGATCATTTATGCGTTAGTTAATCATTTATGCGTTAGTTAATCATTTATACGTTAGCTGATTATTTATGCGTAAGTTGATGTTAAGTAGTCCACGGTGAACTAGTTCGGACCGGGTTTGGGACTGGACTTTTAGGGACAGTTCAGGACTAGTCCGAAACTAGTCCTATAATTTTGTGATCTCAAGGTCTTCTAATTCAGTAATTGGCTAATTTACGTCGATCCAAATGTGATTATAATACTGGAGAGAATTCAATACAATCCATGTAGTTATAATTAAAACACAATACTCGTTCACTATTGTTATATACATTAAACTGCTAGGATAAGACTGGTTTCAGGCAGTGGTTATAAACTAGTTCTTAACTAATTATGGACCAGACTTTTTAAGGACTTAACCAGGACTGGACCAGACCAGACTTTTAACATCTCTAGTTTCAGTACAGCTTAAGTGATTTTTCTAATAAATTATATGGAATAGTGTTATCTATATTGCAAGAAATTTCTAAAATCTATTTCACTCTTAGACATGAACATATATGGACATTCCGGTATGCCAATATATAAATTTTATAAACATATTCCTCATTTTATATGAAAAAAAATCCGCAATTGCCATTGTAAAAGTATGTATTACATTAGATCACTAGATATAAAAAATATTTCAATGTAAATAAGATAGAGTATTCGAATTTATTAATCTAAAGATAGTAATAAAATTCGATGCAATAAATTACGCACAAGCCATTTTTTTTTTACGTTGATTTGAATTTTACAACTTTTCAAGATTAATACATTGTCCACAACTCTCAAACACTTCAAAGTTCTCCGTACACATTCTTTAAAAGTGTCAAATCATTTTTCTCGAATTAAGTTATTACTGTGCAATCAAATCAGTGTATACGTAGGATTAAACTAGTATGTTAATTAACTAATATTCATAATTTAATTATTATGTGATCAGAAAAAAGTTATTGGTACATACAAAAGTTTGTGTTGCAAAATACGTTAATCTTTGTTACGTATATTAAATTATAGAAGACAAATTGGCAAATCACAAAGTTTAAAAACTGAAATCATTTTAAAAATTTATGTGATTATGTAACTAATAAGATTTATTATTATATATTTTAATATCAAAAAACACTTGGTTGTACGATACCTAAATAACATCGATATGGGATAAATGAGAGTATATTCAAACATTTTTTAGAATAACATATACAGAAAAATGCTGAGAAAGAGAAAACCGAAAAAAATGCTCTAGTATTATATATTCACATCCTTTAATTTCTCTATATTACTGTATTAATTACATGAATAATAAAGAATTAAAGTTATATAAACTATTAAACATACATATATAAAAATACAAAATAAATAAATGGTTTTTTAAATTAAACTACTCGGAAGAGATGAGAATTTATCAGGATGTGAAATCACATGATAGAACATCGACAATCTGATCTATAGTATTTTGATGCACTTTTCTCAAGAGCAATTTCTTTTTTAATTTGCTTCGATTTTTTAGTGTAATCTAAAAATAATAAAATGTAGTGTCAGTATTAAGTAAAATATAATTCTATTCACAGGATAGAAGAAGAAATTATTTACCAGTTAATTCAAGATTCAAGCTAGTGTTATTAAAAGTATCGGGTAGCGATACGATAGGGGTTGCTTGACTTAAGTCACTTAGAGGATCAAATTTTTGTTTGTTATCAAAATCCATTTGATAATGAATCCTTTCTTTTGGCATTGCAAGAGTTTGTTCAGGTTTTTTCACACTAAGTTTCAACTTCTTACTAAGTTTTGGTTTAAAATCTGGTTAATAAAATTAAAAGATATATAATTAAATATAATTAATATTATAGTTTTTTAACATTATAATAATTATTTAAACAGAAAAATAGAATTAACTTACTGTAAATTTCAAGATTTAAT